GCGGTGGACATCATATCCTAAGAACGGTTCATCTCAAATCCCCAATTCAAAAAAATTTCGTTAGTATATTGTATTGCCTAGTCCCTGAACGAAGGATTTGTAAAAATTTTGATTAAAAAAAAATTGGCGACGGTTTTAACAAAAATGTACTTTTTCAAGGTTTAAAATTTTGGATTTTATTCTCTAAAAAAGAAGTTTTCAAAAAAATTGAAAATCCTTCGTTCAAGGACTAGCTATTGTTATAATAAATAAGTGGCCAAATTTTGTGTCGATCGGATTAATAGTTTTTTAGTAATCGTGTCCACCGCAAAGGTAATTTCGAAAAAGCAAGACTCTGAGATAATCGCGTTTAAAGTTTCAAGGTTGTAACGGCCGATGTGCAGGTAGTGCGCTATAAATAGCTACAATTTCGGTTCTAATGCTCCGATCGTTATGAATTTTTGTGAGAGTATTCTCAACAGTATATACTTCAAGAATATGCAATAAAAAAAATCGTTTTTTTCATCGATCACAACTGTATATAACCACTTAAAAATTTGTTGTTCCTAAAAATCTTAAGGTACTTTGGAATAATGCCGTGCATTACATTTTGTTTTGGCCTTCCCCGACCTTACTCTTAAAATAAAATGTATTTACGAACCATTTAATAGTATCCTGGGCAGTAGACTTGACCTCTCCGACCAATCCAGTGAATTTGCGAACAGTTTTCCGTTCAAAATTGAGTTCTGCAATCAACTGACAAAGTATAACAGAAAATTGCTTTCCGTAAAGCCATTTTAACATTTTTGTGCAGTGTAATGATGGCTTCTACTCTTTATCTCTACTACTAACTAATCGCAATGCAAAAACAGGTTAGCAGCAAAAAAAGCAAGAGAGAACGCTATAGTCGGGTTGGTGTCCTGACTATCTAATACCCGTCACTCGGCTAAAGGGAGTGCAAGGGAGATGGATATATACAATTTTTTTGATGGCGTATATTTCGATAGGTATAAATATGCACAACAACATTGCATTTATACTTCTCGGAAATCTTTAAAGGTGTGGGCGCCAGACACATTTTAAAATCGTTAGTGGGCGATTGTGGGCGTTAGAGGGGGCGTGGCGCTCGGCTGAAATAAGCTTGCGCTGCGTAGGAAGCCAAAGAATATGTGTGGGAAATCTCAACCTTCTAGCTTTTGTCGTTTCTGAGATCTCAGCGTTCATACAGACGGACAGACGGACATGGCTAGATCGACTCGGCTAGTGACCCTGATCAAGAATATATATACTTTTTGGGGTCGGAAACGCTTCCTTCTAGCTGTTACATACTTTTGCACGAATACAATATACCCTTTTACTCTACGAGTAACGGGTATAATTAGCTAACTTTGCTTGTTAATTTTTTGGTGTGAAAGAAGACTTTCATAAATCTGAAAATGAAAATTCCTTGCAAAGGTATTTGTTAATGTAAATTAGCTTAAATATTTGCTTTTATGTGTCTTGTTGTCCAACTGTGAACTGTCTTATATGTGTATCTTTATAGATTTGAGCTAGCGATTGTGTTTGTGGAGTATAACTTCTTAATGGCACAGAGTTGCAAAGAAGTAAAAACGAGAAATTAACCACACAAGTGTCCTTGTTGCCATACAATTAAAAATTTTTACTTACCATTTATCTAGCCACATATGAGTTCACCATGTATAGGACTAATTACTTTTGGTTCCCTATGAAGCCACATCATAATTAAAAAATACATTGTTCCTGTTGACTCCTTAGCAGAAAGTGCATCAGAACCTAGACACAAACTTTGTTTGTAGCCAGGCGCAGTTTTCTGAATCGTCACTAATAAGAAAGTAAGAAAATTAATTTTAAAAAATCTAAAACAATTCACAAAAACTTGGTGAGTGGCTTATAAATTAAGGACATAAGGTATCTTTGGGCCAAAAAAGCATTGTAGAAGAAAATATTTTTATTTAATTTATACACGCTGTTCACAAATTAAGATTTTTAAATTTTGCTATGACTTTTAAACTTTGAATGCTCCCACCTTCTCTTGTGGTTAAGTTAGATTACATTTTAAAAAAGGATCATACAGAAGAGACGTGTAACTATTTAATTCCGAAAAGAGTAACAAAATTGGTTGACCACTCTTGAAGATATATCCCAAAGGACGTAGAAAAATGAAGATTTTCTTAAATTAAAGATACCGGAAATACCAGAAATTATGCTTAGAAAAGCCGTATTTATCGAAATAAAATGGTGGCAAGCCTGTTTCCATGTGTAATTTTTAACAATTATTTAATAAAAAAAGAATTTTTAATTACTACTACGGGGACAAATTAAAAAAAAAAAAAACAAAATTCAAATTTTTGTTCAATTTTAAATAATGCACAAAAAAATTTCAATTTAATATCTTTTAAACTTGAGTTTTTGCACCAAAAAAGGGTTTTTTACCCATAGTGCATCAGAGAAATTGTGAACATTTTTGGATTTTCAACTTTGTTGTCAATTTCAATGAATGAAATGGGTTAAATTCGGCGTTTTTTTTGCTTTTACTTATACTTAATGATAATATCTTCCAAAAACATAAACAAAAATCACATATGTATTTCCAACGAAAACACTTAGTTTTCCAACAAAAACAACAAAAAATCCGATTTTTAAGGTTCAACGAATAATATGTAATTTTTGTGAATGTTTTTAGAAGATATTAGCATTATGTATAAGTAAAACAAAAAAAAACGACGAATTTAACCCATTTTATTCATTTTTTTTGTCTGTTTATTTTATGAAAGTAGGTGTATGTACAGTGGCTCACAGCTTATTTCGTGCAGAGGGTAAACTTAAAATTCAAACTCGTATAGCTAACAAACTATACGATAATTTACCAAAATTTAAATGTTAGGTAGTATTCTGGCCCTTATTAACCCACTTCTTTATTTTTAGATTCCTTAGAATAACACTTAAAATTAAGAAAAACTAAAATCATTGATTTTTTTAGTGTCACAGCTTATTTCGTGCAAAACTTTAAAATTATTATTATTTGTAAATTATGGCTCAAAATGTGTTTTTTTAATTTCTTCATTGAAGCGCCTATTATTAACAATTTTTTTTGGAATTTTAATTATGTCAAATAGACTAAAAAAAAAAGTTACATGCAAAAAAAATAAAACAATCAATTAAAATGTTTAAATTTATATTTTCGTATTAAAAATGTCGAAAAATGTATCTTAAATTTGCAGAATTTATTGAGCAAGGACCCAGTTCTCAACTATCCATGATCAAACGCTTCTTTCAAAGGAATTAAGTGGTACCAATAGGCTCAAAATGCATCCTGTACAATAGTATCTGCACCGGAACAGACTTAAAATTATTAAAAATGTATAGTAAATTTAACAGTACGGGCTTCAAAGTTGGCTGTAATTGTTCGCAACGAAATGGTCTAATAATGTTTAGAACAAAATTTCCGCCTCTTACAGCGAGATCACAACATTATTGGCCAATCAAGCCGAAATAAAGTATTTATTACCACAAGTATATGCTCAGCAGATGAAAAATAGCCAGGAAGCTTGATATTCGTCAAATTTTCATCTGGAATGATTTTATATTTGCTTTTAAGCCCTCACTCACTAAATATTGGTTTACTTGTATGCACCATGTATGATCCTGACGGAGTTCCGAGGACCTCACAAACGCTCAAAATCTACGCTTAAGCAAAGTGGCGGGTTGTGATAGGGTTTGGGCATGTCAGATGTTTTTAGGGACTTCAAATTAAGTTTTTTTTTAAGAAATAGCTTCTAGAAACATGTACCTTTGACATTAGCCAACTTTGAAGACCGTAATGTTAAATTTACTATACATTTTTAATAATTTTAAGTCTGTTCCGGTGCAGATACTATTGTACAGGATGCATTTTGGGCCTATTGGTACCACTTAATTCCTTTGTAAGAAGCGTTTGATCATGGATAGTTGAGAACTGGGTCCTTGATCAATAAATTCTGCAAATTTAAGATACATTTTTCGACATTTTTAATACGAAAATATACATTTAAACATTTTAATTGATTATTTTATTTTTTTTGCATGTAACTTTTTTTTTAGTGTATTTGACATAATTAAAATTCCAAAAAAAAATTGTTAATAATAGGCGCTTCAATGAAGAAATTAAAAAAACACATTTTGAGCCATAATTTACAAATAATAATAATTTTAAAGTTTTGCACGAAATAAGCTGTGACATTAAAAAAATCAATGATTTTAGTTTTTCTTAATTTTAAGTGTTTTTCTATGGAATCTAAAAATAAAGAAGTGGGTTAATAGGGCCAGAATACTACCTAACATAACTGCATTTAAATTTTGGTAAAGTATCGTATAGTTTGTTAGCTATACGAGTTTGAGTTTTAAGTTTACCTCTGCACGAAATAAGCTGTGAGCCACTGTACATATGCACATATAAATTCCTACAAACGGCCCAATGGTTATTTCTTGCAAAGTCGGCCGACATGTTAATTCACCCTGAGTTTCAAATCGCAGCTAATAAGCCCAAAGTGCAGGGCATTCCGCAAACAGCCGCCAAGAAGGGCAATCGAAAACATACTTAGTACATATTATTCATATGTGTGCGCATATATGAATGTACGTTGTGCGCACAGGCATACATACATACATATACATATAGTACGTTCGCCTCGACAATTCGTCCGCTGGAAACCAAAGGCGAACGCGTCAACGGATTTTTGTATTACACACATTTTCTGTTGTTTTGTTCTGAACGTCACTGTGTGCGACGCTTCTTTTCGCTCGCTTTTACTTTCTGTGGCTTGTGATTGTTATTGCGATTAAACGGCGTTTTCCATCGAAGAGTCGCGCTCTCCGGAGAGCGCTTTAGACCTACACGCCTGGATCAGCTAGCAGAGGAGGGCTGCGACGCGACGCCGACGCAGATAACGGGAACGGTGGCAGCGTGAGAGAGCGCAGAGAGCCGGCTATCGTGCCGAGTGCGCGTGATTTTGTGGCTCTGAAATGCGGGCTTGCTGCCAACTGCGCTGCCGACGACGGCGCAGCTCAGACCGCTCGCCGCGGTGGTTGTTATTTTCTGGTCTTGGTTTTTAGTTGCCGTTTAAACTTGGTCGTGAGAGGGAGCCCCGTTATCAGTCGCCGCGATCGTGTACCGAAAGTGAGAGCACAGCGAGAGCCCTGGCCAGCGCAAGTCTTCAGATCCAGATTCTCCAGGACATCCTGATGGCCCCCGTGAGCGGCTGTTCGCCCACTGCCACCCACTCGCTGCAGGACTTGAGCGCCGCCGCCGCGGCCATCGCGCTTGACATGAAGCCCAAGGGGGAGCCCCACCCCCTGGCTGCCGCCACTGCCCTGCCATCGCAGAAGATCAAGAAACGTGAGTACCCATATTGGTTTCCCCTACAGGGAACACACTATACATACATATGTAAGTAGTGCAGTCGAATTTCGATAAGTAAAACGATGGAAAATTCATTTGAACTCCTTATTGCCCTTGCAACTAAATACATATGGATGTGTGTATTTTGTTTGACCATCATGAGAATTAGTAAAGTTCGCGTTGTGGAAGTTGCACTGGATGATCTGAACGGTCCAGTGAAATGATAGAGGCTCCGTATGCCTTTTGCATTAAATTATTCAATTTTATTTTACCCTTAAATGGAATCAATTCGATAAGTATTTCTCGCTTTTTCATGTCCTACAGTGGTACGGCGTAACGCCTCCGACAAGCTGAAGCTCATTCAAATGGTCCACGACAACCCAATTCTCTGGGACTCGCGTCTCCCAAACTTCAAAGGTGCCGAGGAGGAGAAGAATCGGGCCTGGGAGCACATAGGTCGAGAGTTTAACGCCCCCGGGCGACGCGTTGCCCGGGCCTTCAAGTCACTGCGGGAATCCTACCGCCGTGAGTTGGCCCATGTCAAGCTGATGGGCAACGGCTTTAAGCCCAAATGGAGCCTCTACGAGGCTATGGATTTCCTACGCGACGTCATCAGGGAGAGAAAGTGAGTATGGCACAAGTAATAGTAGTTCTAAGGTCGTACCCAATTTATAAATTTATAACGATTTTTACCTCTGACGATATTAACCATATTAGTCTTACACCGCACATATAATGATTATATTCAAAAAGGGTTATAATTCAAAAGAGATTTGGCAGATTATACAACAAGGACCGATCTGCAAAAATGTTTAAGCAAAATAAACTTAAAAATGTCTACTTTTTGTTAATTTATTGTTTTGTTGAAAACTTGAACCGTCGTGAGCCTATTGCTTAAGGTAAATTAAAAAAAGGACAGTAAAACCGTACACTCCAAATACTATTTCAATTTTTTTTTATTTAATTTTTTTTTTTAAGTGAATTTACTCTATTTAGTTAATAGTATTTACTTTTAGTGGGAGAAATTAAAAAAAATATTTTTTTTTGAAAAAATGCCAATTTGCAAAGTTTTTAAATAATTTTTTGTGTGCACGTTTGCTCACAAGAGCGAGTCATTCTTCAAAGGCGTGCCTTTTATCGTTTTAATGTATTTAGAATAAAAATTTTGCTACATTAGATGAAGGAAATACAAAAAAAATGTTTTACAATATTACTTGTTTTTTAGAACTTATAGTTCCTAATTTTACAAAAAAGATTTTTCTTTTTCTTTGACATTCAAGTTGCCATTAATTTTGATTAGATGGTCAATAAAACAACATCTATACCATAGAGTACAAATTTTACTTTGTTTAACCTTTAGAAATAATGCCAATATTGTTTGTATAAGATATCATCTTACACTCTTAATTGTGTCAGGAGACCATTTGCTTACTTATATTACAATGAGTTCGACGAGCCACTAGCCATCGATCGAGTCATGAGCAAGGGTCAAAGTGTAGCTCGAATCGTATATAATGGTTCTCGCTTTTGGCTCGGTCTTTGTCAGTTGTTTTTGAGTTTAAGTATAATGATTCATTTTGAACTAAGAACTGTAAACTCAAGTCTATTAGACTAAGATCCCTAGATGACTCACCCTTCTCCCACTGATATTGTATATACATAGGTCGAAAGATGGTGGGTTTATGTGCCTTATGCCTGCTGAGGCTTATTCAAAGTAGCCGTTTCCCCCTAATAAAAATGTTTGTTGTTGTTACTGGTAATCAGTGAAGCGAACCTTGCTTTTACGGAGCTCAATCAAAGCTTATTGCAGGGTAATTCCAAGAAGCTTATCGTTTCATGGGAGTAGCTACTTCTGTTTAAATCAAATGCAAAAGTCTTAATTGGGGTTATGAGTTCGTGAGTCGTTGTTTAATTGTAATAATTTTGTGGATTTCACTGAAGGACTTAGCGCTAACTTGCATTAAAAACTGTGAACCCCAAAAAAAAATAGATATGATACGTAGATCGATTTTACATTATGTAATATCAATTTCAACTTGATATGGGGCCAGGTAAATTTGATATGGTCGAAATGAGTATTTCATGTAAAAACGATATGGGTTTTGTATAACCAGAAATTTACATGCCATATCGATTTTACGGCGACATGCATTTTTTTGTGTGTAGGACGTTTAAAAAGTTCTTAAGTAAATTACGATATTCAATAAAACCAAACAAAATACAAGTTTCTTATAAAAATTCGTTATACGTTTAACATTTGGTGGAAATTATCCGAACATTCCTTTGAGAAAAGGAGTGTTAAACATAAAGCTGCCGTAAACTTAATTACGCAAATCCTGTAAATATTCGTAAGCCACTTTATGAGGAATTCCTTTCGAGCTTCCATACACAACGCATCCCTTAGCCCAGTCGATTTGCATAAATGCCCAGCAATTCGAACAAATCTCAGCTCTGTGTTTGAGAAAACATCTGCCCAGCCAAAAAGAATAGCAAAAACAACGCACAGGGGCATATGGACACTAAGGAGAGGTAATGTGGAAAAAACCAATCCGAACAAAGGAATGACCGGGCCAGAGACCCGCAAATGGTCTCAGTCGAGAGTCTGCCCCGTCCAATGTTCTGGCTCATATGGAGCCGTGCTCGAGCCACGGGTGTGTGTGTTGTACTTTATGTACATATTTATATGAAATAAGGCCATTTCCTTTCAATTGACTGTACCCACATGGGCAACAAGCAGTCGTCAGCCCGCCACATGCCCGCGCACACTCACCCATGGTGTGTGTATATATTTAAATTTTTATTATTTTGAGCTGATAACAGACAGCTCAACGGGCCCGGCCAGTCGGGCAGCGCTTGAGCCGGAGCTATAGCCACAGCCACAACCATAGCCATAAAACAGATCTCGCCAAGCGGCGAAAATTATACAACGGCGCAGCATCGTCGCTACTTGAACCAAAAACTAAATTGAGGGAAGCTGCAAACGCAAGCCCAATGAAATGGGCTGCTGGAGGGGCTGGGGACTATAGGAAGGCGGCAAGAGAGCGATAAATTAATGAGAGCACTACGAAAATGACAATCAGCACTGAAGAATACGGATTGCGAGTGGACCAAGTTAGGAAAGAATCGCAGCTTGCGAGCGCGAAAGGGGCTGCTGAGGGAAATGAGCGAGGTTCTGTCTATATATATAACATATGTGTACATCGGGGTATGGGTGAGCAATTGAACGAATCGCTCGGCCTGGCTTCGGCCAGGGTTAAAAATATGCCCACGACCATTAGCCAGCTACATCAGTCCCGACCAAGGGGTTGCTTCGACCCAGACTCGGGGTCTGGACCCCTCTCCTAGACCCGTACCTATGGGTATGCCCACATTTGCTCTGCGTCAGTCCTCTCTTGATCTCCGTCTCTCATACCCACACACACTAGGCCACTTGGGTGTGAATGCTCTGTCGAGCTCCGTCTGTGTCACGCTTATGATTTAATAAGCAAATGAGCTGCGAAATTGCTGGAATTGTTTGGCTCCCCGTCATCCCCAACCTCCGAAACTGGCACCACGCCTCGAAATCACTGTCCGGTGAATTTCTTCTTGAAACGTTTTAGTCAATGCGTCACGGAAGAAAAGTGGGCGTTAGTCCGTACTTTCTTGTTTCCCGTTAATTAGGTGTTTTGAAATGTCAAGGAACTGAGAGTTTTTAGTGGTCCTGTTGTGGACTTTTAGATGTAATAATAATCAGTTGTGATGTCTGAAAAGAGCTGGTCATTTTTAATTGCAAATCTCCAATATTTCAGTACGATTCAATCGGATACAAATAGTTCGGTAAATTTACTATTTCAATTGGTCAGGAATCCAACGATAAGATACACACCCTCAAACCTCAGAAACTCAGCGAAATATGCCACAAACTAAAAAAATAGCCTGGGACCTGGGCCACAGCGCAAGCAAATATTGATAAGGCTAGCGATTGAAAAGCAGAAAAGAAACCAAAGCAAATTAGAGTCAAGACCTTTAAAGCCGCAAGCAAATAGAGTCGTTCCCGACTGTGGAATATGTGAAAATGCATTTCGCTGTGATTAGTCCTGAAAGTTATTTGGTTGTGGCTTGGGAGTATCATTTTTCAAATTTTCCAATTGTCAACTACCTGCGGCTGATTTCTGTGATAAGCCAGGCAACAAGGACGTCAGCTAAGATTTGAGAACGTGCTTTGTCTCTTCAAGAGGCAGCCAACTGGGAAAGATCGCGGCATTTGGCAAATAAATAAAGAGATTGGGAAGGCCTAAAATAGCCACGTTCAGACGTTTTCGAGCACCCGGCCTTAGGCAGCTGCATCGCCTGGGAAAATGCTCTTGAAACATGAGACGCGTTCAGTAAGCGACAGGAAACCAGACTACTTGGGACAATCAAAAAATTTTTGTTCTTCGAGACCTGTTCCCCGCCTTTTTTTATTACTGCGTTTAGCTCGTTTTGGGGGGTTTTTGAAAACATTTTAAAAAATGTTTTTTTCTGATTCGGAACGCTTTTTTAAAAACGTACGTAAGAAAATGTAGAAAATTTATTTATTTATTTATCAATGTTTTTGTATGAGTCGAAGATTTGAAGAATCTTTGGGCTGGATTACACTCAAAACGGAATCTATTAGTTTATATTTAATCAGAACAAAAATCTCGGTTAAGTTTGATCATTGGAACCGGAAAAAATCGATGGTGTCGTATAATTATAAAACAATCGCAAATAGCCGAAAAATATATTATATTTCATTAAATTAGCAGTAAGTCCTTTAAAATAGGATCAAGGACGCGTCGTATTTTTTTTCGTACCATGTACCACATGATACATTGTTCTTTCGATTTGCATTTAAATGATTCGCTTTCTATAAACAACAATTCTACAAACTTTCAAACAAAAAATGTCGTGGTGTCGTAAAGTTTTAGAACACACCTTAACATAAAAGAGAACAGAAAAACAACTTTTAATTGCAAGCTTAAATGCATCTGTATTGTTACTAATCAGTTCTTTTCTAATCATTGATCGGGGCCGAATTTTGACTTTAGAGTTTTTTTTTAAAAAGATAGAGCTTCAAATTAGTATAATTACATATTACAACAACCAAAAAAAATTTAGTTTAAATCTAACAAAGACACTTCTTGACGAGAAAAGAACATTACATACAAAAGTTTTGATATATGCTACAGCTTCGAATTCGTTACGAGTCTGCGCATTGACCTTTAAGATTATCACTCATACGTACTGTTGCCTTTAATCAAATATTTTATTTTCATATAAGTGGCGTAGACTTGTCATTATTTATTGAGTCTTAACATTAAGGTAACCTTATAACCTTTACAAACGTCTAAAGAAAAATAAAACCGCTATGGCTATTCCTTATAAAAATCCTACCTAGTGTGCATATCCGTTGAAAAGGTATTTAGAAATTAAATGCACATCTTTTAGACGTAATTTGCATAAATACCATCGCCATAAACTTAGGGGCAAACATTTTTGTAGACCCATGCTTCTTATACCCGTTACTCGTAGAGTAAAAGGGTATATTAGATTCGTGCAAAAGTATGTAACAGGTAGAAGGAAGCGTTTCCGACCCTATAAACTATATATATTCTTGATCAGGATCACTAACCGAGTCGATCTAGCCATGTCCGTCTGTCCTTCTGTCTGTCTGTATGAACGCTGAGATTTTGGAAACTACAAAAGCTAGAAGGTTGAGATTTCATACACATTATCTTGGGCTTCCTACGCAAGTTTATTTCAGCCGAGCGCCACGCCCCCTCTATCGCCCACAATCGCCCACTAACGATTTTAAAATGTGTCTGGCGCCCACACCTTTAAAGATTTTTCAGAAGTATAAATGCAATTTTATTGTGCATATTTATACCTATCGAAATGTAGAAGGCCACGCAATCAAAAATATGTTATATATCCATCTCCCTCGCACTCCCTTTAGCCGAGTGACGGGTATTAGATAGTCTGGACACGAACCCGACTATAGCGTTCTCTTTTGTTACTTTTAGGTTTATTTCGCAAAAACGGATATTACCGAGGTTTATAATTTGTGTTTAAGAGGTTTCTTTATTTGATAAACATGGCCCTAATTTGTAAATGCGTATATTTGATCCTACGAGAGCGAAAGTCTAAAGTTCAAACGTACAAAAGTTCTGATATCAAATGAAATGATTACACACATAATTAAATACACTTTCCAACATTTTCTTATTTTATACCCTGGCAGAGGGTATTATGATTTCAGTCAGAAGTTTGCAACGCAGCGAAGGACACTTTTCCGACCCCATAAAGTACATATATTCATATATTCTTGATCAGGATCAATAGTGTAGTCGGTATAGTCATGTCCGTCTGTTAGTCTGTATCTGTTTCAATACCGTCTGCGAGCACAGTTTAAAAGCTAGCGAGTCTGAATCTTTATCAGTCGTCCTAAAACATATGTACGTAGATCATGCTTGAAATTCGGAATGTAACCTTAAAAAATTAAAGATATTTCGAGCAGTGTAAAAGTTATCAACTTGTTCATACCCTATTCAGGGTAAAAGGGCTTGCCGATGGTTAGTATATTTTCTGTCGCTCCCATAGTACAGTACGATATAAAAAGGTCAATATTTTATGTTTTTCGGGATATTTCGATATTTGAGCTTAACGTTTTTAAATCTTATATTTTTATGTATACCTTGATCAGGGTGAAAGCGTGTGCCCAGCGGCCTTATATTTTATAGCTCTCTAAATAGGCAAGAACTTGATTTTATTCAAGATATTTGAATATATTTCGTTGTTTATTATTTCATGATTGGTATTTATGCTATTCTGGTCTCATTTTCAGTCGTAAAATCTGCAAGGGTATTAAAACTTTGGCTTGTCAAAATTAAGCTTCCGTTCTCGTTATTCCTAGTTCCACCTTTGTAACGCCTTCTTTGCTTACATATATTTCATATATTTCAGGGGCGCATCGCATGCAACTGATCTCAGCCTGACCGCGTATGGCCATATTAACAATAACAACAATAATAATAACAGCAACAGCCTGGGAGCAGCTGGAAAGACAGTGGCAATGAAGCTCTCCTCGTCCTTCAACGATTCCGCCGCTGTGTTGAATCTTTCCAAGTGCTCTTCGTTAAATGTGAGCGGCGATGACTACTACTGCGATTATCACCACGTGAAGCCGGAGCTGGATCTCTCGGTGGGCGGAGGGGCCGGGAGTAGCAGCAGCCGTAGTAGCTCCGGCGGTGGCCCACTTCCGCTGCCCGCACACCAACACCAGGCGCACAACGACAGTCGGGTGAGCTCCACGCGCAATGAGCATCAGCACCTGCAGCACAGTTACGATGACATTGATGCCAGCTCGATTCGCAGCGGAGATGAAGACGCCGGCCATGCATCTGACGTAGTGGAGGAGTTAGAAGCAATTGACGCCGATTTTCCTTATCCATTGATCCTGGACTCCAACTCACGCGCGAGCACCAATGTGGGCGTGGACGACGTGGCCTCGTCGCGAAAACGCCGCCGTAATGTCGATCAGGACGGCTTGGAGGACGCCAATGGGGACGATGATGCTATTATCGATGGCGACGACTACGAGGAGCAGATGCTCCAGCAGCACCGACATCTTCGGCAACAGCAAGGTGCAGCTGCCGCCGGGGGGCTGGATCTACCGCCCCCGCAAACTGTGCGTGAGGTTCTTAACTCTAAGTTTTGTGGCTTCATCTCGGCTAAGCTGAACAGCATGGAGGACTCGGAAGCGGACAATTTAATGAATCGCATTCTTTTGTTGCTGGTTCAAGTGCAGCAGTGCGAGGGGTCTACGAAGTAGGCGGGGGGCTCTTAATATAGGGGATGTAGTTAAAATAGCCAGGAAAAGCTCATAATGGATTGATGGAGCCGCACAAAGCCCTTTCAACGGATTGAATTCTTGCCATTTGTTCTTACTTCCCTTTTTGTAAGAATACTAAACTTATTTGCCAATGCCAAATCTGTGCCATACCAAAAAAATCAATCAAATATGAATATTTTTACTAAACATTTTCTTCGCTCTCATTTACAAAAAATAATTAACTTAAAGAAAAGAAAACAAAGACAACACAAAGACAAAGATATAAACAAAGAAAATATATGAAGTAAGACTTAGTTTAATTAAACTTTGAATGTTAATTTTGTTTTAAGTCGATCTACTGCAGATCATACTCAAGCCAACGTCTCATCACATGAAACTATTCTTTTATATACAACTATACTTAAGAATATATCGCCATCTCGTTAAATTGAAAACTTAGAAATAAAAAACATTTATTAAAATATTTTTAACGCGATAAAGCTACCATATTACTGTTAGGTTTACAAAAAATGAATATTTGTAATTGTCTTACACCAACTGTCTTTATTTACTTTATTGAATAAAACACCATATATGGTAGGCAATGCAGTTTTCGTAACTTAAGTCTCAAAATTTGTATATTAGCTGTTTAAAATACTCTTTTCAAATCTAATAGCAGACTGTTAGTCTTATAGTATTACTTATCTTGAAACTGGTTTAAAAATGTATTTCAACATGCCAATTGATCTTTTTTCCTGTCTGCCCTTCGATAGCAGCCTATTAGCCATGGCAAATTCTCACAGGGCCATATGACACGCATACATTGCCGTAAAAATCAATAATAGGCTAGTCTGCAGGGATAGCGCATACAAATTGCGCCATAAAAGCAATGAACAGAAATACCTAAGATTTAAACAGCGCATGCGCCACGGCATAAGATCCTCTCACATTGGAACGGCGTAGGGTAAGCAGATGTGGGTATGACGAGCTGAAATGCCAATGAATGAAACACGAACACTAGAAGTTCAGGGTACCACAGACAGATTTAGGCGTAGCCACATTGAAACCTATTGTAAACAACCCTTATCTAGAGTTTTGGCCTGACCGAAGCGGCCAACAACCTCAAACCCTTATAAGCAGAAGAAATTCTCGTGTGCGCGAAAATTTGACAGAACTCGGCACTCTGTGCAAGCGGCCTTAAACTGGTTTTCCAACGTAATAATGGATTCTTTGTTAGCCGTCATGTAGAGCCGCTTAAGGGATGCTGTCAAAGATTTTGCCTGTGAAGCAATTATGCTCAGCCTGCAAAACAATTGGCAGTATACATTAATCAATGAAATCTTAACGAGGTAAAAAACTCCCACATTTAACATTTGTACAAAAGTTTTGATATCAACTTTTGTACCGAAAAAATATACTCTGGACTAAATACGCTTTCTAAAAGTTTTTCATCAGGGTCACTAGCCGAGTCGATATAGCCATGTCCATCTGTCCGTCTTTCGGTCCGTATGAACGCTGAGATCCCGGAAGGTTGAGATTTTCCACACATATTCTTGGGCTTCCTACGCAGCGCAAGCTTATTTCAGCCGAGCGCCACGCCCCTTCTAACGCCCACAATCGCCCACTAACGATTTTAAAATGTGTCTAGCACCCACACCTTTAAAGATTTCTGAGATTTATAAATGCAATTTTCTTGTATGTATATATACCTACAAAATGTAGAAGACATTTTTCAAATCGGACCATAATTTAAAAAGTTGTGCGCAATCAAACAAATTTTATATATCTATCTCTCTCGCACTCGCTTTAGCCGAGTGACGGGTATTAGATAGTCGGGAAACCAACTCGATTATAGCGTTCTCTCTTGTTTTTTTTTCATATTAGTACAACCATAATATTAGTTCCAACAATAAGAACAAAAAGATTACTTCCTACCGTTTAAAAACACAAACACAGTATAGACCTATGCACACAAAAAATCTGAGTGAAATTAACCATATATTGGTTGATTGTTAAACAGTCCCGAAACACAAAAATTGTCAATCAAATAGTTACTTTCACAACAACAAATATACGCAATTAGCAAAGACACACACCCGAAGGAAAAACAAAATACACGTAACTAATTTTTATAGTTACGTAACTATCCGTATAAGTCAATTTTCCCAATTAAATTTGTTTGTGTGTAGGGATATATATAGGACTAGGAGGGTCGGTAGCCGGCAGCTTTGACTTCGGAAAGTAAAATTGAAAATTAAGCATACATTAAAACAAATTCGTTATTTTTAGCCTATAAGCCGAGAAAAGATTTTATCATAATTTTTGGCCTAAATATTTAAGAAATATAAAAAAAACTTGCAAAAAAATGCATAAAATTATTATTGCTTGCATAAGTTATCAGCTGCATAGAACAGAAACAAACTAATTTATTTTTCAACACAAATCCTTACACTAATTTTCTTCACAACATTAGTACTTTGTCCAAAATATATTGTTTAAGTATATAAGGTCATACTGGCTTGAGCATGTAATTAAATTTCACATCAATTAGCGTGTAAATCTAAAAAATAAACTTGTTTTCTTAAAAAAAAATACACCAAAACATTGCTAAAACATAGGGGAGAGGTCTGTAGGTTGGTACACCTTTTGTTTTTAATCTGCCATTTCGACATTCACTTATGAAACTTTACGCATTTGGTACTGATCTAAAGGTTAGTCTATAAGCTTAATAAAAAACAAGAAAAAATATTTTTTTTCTTTAGGGAAAACTGAAAAATTATTTTTTTTGAAAAGTCCCAAAAAACGACATTTTGAAAAAGAGGTCTGTAAGTTGAGACACTTTTAAAAGTCATTAATACTCACACAAAAAGTACTCCAGTAAGTACTCCTATAAGGAACTATTTAATTATGTTAATATAATCAATTTTAGCTCGTCCTAAATCATTTCCCATCCATTTTTTAAGAACTTAGACCAAATAACAATCAAAATCAAAAGGCTCTTTGAACATTCACTTTTCCTCTAATATCAAAGAAATGTACTAGGCAGAAAGCGACCTCTGTTGGCCTCAGGCCTTTTTGTATGAAAATCGGGTGTCTCAATTTACACGCTCAAAGTGTCTCAACTTACACAAAATGGGATGTTTCGGGAAAAAATTAATAACTTTTGTTCTGACTGTCACATTAAGCTGATTCTTTTTTTAATTAGTTAACAGTTAATATACTATTGTTTTAAATATCTTACCAAGTTAATTTACTGAAGTTATTAATTTTAAATGGACATTTGAAAAAAGGTGACAAAAACTTTTTTGGTGAAAAATGGTACACGACTCTCCCAGCTTTAATCTGGCTAGAGCCTGGCTTATAATGTTTTCCCCAAAAGTTTTGTCACTAAAAAGGACTACAAAAAAAAAAATAAAAAAAATTTTTTAGTGGATAAGTTTTGAGAAAATTGAGTGTCTCAACTTACAGACCGTCTCAACCTACAGACCTCTCCCCTACCTCTTTCTCTAAAAGATAGCTCTCCAACAAGATTAAGATTTATGAAGTTAGAGGAACATTTTTTTTAGGTAACGAGCTTTTTCAACTTTGACGATGTGTAGCTTCTAAACTTATGGATCTCAATCTGCGTATACAAAAATTAGAAAATTATATTACCTGTAAAATGAGTCATGTATGGTCAAAACCTTTTTACCACAACTCAAGTTAGAAATTAAGAAACTGTAAAAAACTTTTTTAAACTTAAAAAAAATTGCTTTCATAAAAAAAATGAAGTGCCTTTTTCTTCATCAGAAAGACGTACCTTACCGGAAAACAAAGGTTTTCTTCATGGTATATTTCATCAATTTTTTTTTGTAAGCTACTTTAATTTTGTGCACAAAACTTGATATGATAAATTTTGTGTTTTGAAGGTGCGTCACTACATTTTACCTCGTTAATGTAAGACTATTTTTAGGTAACGGTATGATCTAAAAAATTTTAAACACAGAAGAAATTTCAGATTACGGCAATGGTTACCATAAAATATTAGCATATTGACTATTTTCTTACTTACTAGCATTTTAAAATTATTTCACCGAAATAACAACAGACTAGGTTAACGGGCTTGAAACATAGGAAATTCCATTTGAAAAATTCCTACTGAGATGTAAAGAGGCCTTAAAGTAAAAAACATTTTTGTGGCCATTGTAACCTAAAAATTGGTTCAAAGCAGGGACTACGGTCCCTGGTTCAAAGGTCCCAAAATTGGGGACAAATTTGAAGTCGATTTTAACTCACAATTTAATGAAAATATTGGTTTTTAATATAAATAAATAAATTATTCGGTAGGGGAGTGTAGGGTTGTTTTACAAACAGTTTTTCTTGGGTCACATTTTTGATTTGCCTGAAACTTTCTTTACGCGTACTATTCGTGTATTTAACGGAAAGAAAATAATTTTTTTATATTAGATTTTTTTTTAGTTTGCCAAAAAACGTAAATTTTGATAAAGTACCCTCTCATTGAAAGTCTGTATCTCTGGTTGTAGAAATCCGATTTGCATTAATTCCTGGCTTATTCCACGAAAGGGAAAGCACTATTCCTGCTCTCCTGTGTTCGAATTGCTGTTCTCTTCTTACACGTTGCGCTGTTGTTGCATGATGCAAATTTGGTAAACTATAATCGTTGTCTTTACTAGTAGGTCTTGCAAATACAAACATTTTATTTTACCACTTCGTGAATAATTGATGAAGCTTCATGAGGATAATTATTTTTTTCGGAAATCGCGTGTTTTCCGTGGTGCAGAATTTTTTTAGTTTAAAATTCCCTTAAAAAATACTTTATTTTAAATTAAAAAGTTTCCCATAATAATAAATATCCCATAAAGTTGCATAGGGGCTGTCCATATATTACGTAATCATCTAGGGGGGGGGTCAACCAAATGATTACTCTAGTACAAAATTTTTTTTTTTGTATGAAGAATTGATTACATGGGGGGGGGTCAAAAATCTCCGAAATTGTGATTACGTAATATATGGACAGCCCCATACCAAATATTAAAATAACTCAATCGAATCTTAAATGATGCATAACTGAAAAATCGGAACTAATTTACAAAAATATTTTTTTAAAATAAACGGTAAGAGATAAAACAAGAAAGAAAGCTACCTTTGGCCAGCCAAAGCTTATATACCCTTGCAGATAAAGTAAATACCTATAGTTTAATGCTCACTCAGTGCGGTTTCAGGGATTCTAGATTTACCGTGTCTATTTTTTACATTTTGTTTTTAAGTTGTCAAAAATCAAAACGCCTACTTCCTACAAAGTTAGAATGAATTTTCTCATATTTGTTTGAATATTCCTATGGGAGCCTTAAGATATAGTGGTCCCATCCGGCTCGCTCCGACACTGTACTACCTGCAATAGAAAGAAGACTTTCGGGAAAGTTTCATCGCGATAGCTTTAAAACTGAGAGACTAGTTCGCATAGAAACGGACAGACGAACAGACGGACAGACGGACATGGCTAGATAGACTCGGCTATTGGTGCTGATCAAGAATATATATACTTTATGTGGTCGGAAATGTCTACTTCACTGTGTTGCAAATATTTGACTGAAATTATAATACCCTCTTCAAGGGTAT